AGTAAGCATCTTTCTGGTATTTTCTGCTTTCATCCAAGATCTATCTGACATTAGCAATGATATCACTAATTGCATATCTTCTTCTGAATCACAATTTTTTTAAAAAAGAAAGAATAAAAAGAAAGGAAGGAAGGAAGAAATCACCTTTCCATGTAATCTTGGTGGTGGTGGTGGTGGTGGTGGTTGTGTGCCGTGGAGTCAGTTGTGATTCATAGTGACCCTATATGAGGTTTCCAAAGCTATAAATCTTTATGGGAGCAGAAAGCCTCATCTTTCTTCTGAGGAGCGCCTGGTAAATTCGAACTACTGATCTTGTGGTTAGCAGCCTAGTTTACAATCCATTATGTCCCCAGGGCACCTATGTAATCTTCGTAGCCATAGCCAAACACCTGGAGAGAATGAGTTACTGGCCTAGAGGCTTGGACTATAGCAGCAGGGAACATCAAATTTGTTGGTATAACATAGTTCACAAGTCAATGTTCTACATCCTACTTTGCTGTGTAGTGACTGGTGTCTTCAAAGTGTGTACGTGGCCATCTAATGGAAACAATTAGTCCTAAGGACAAATGGACCACGTGAAACTCAACCTCCACTACTCTGAGACCAGAACTAGCTAATACTACTGATCGCTCTGAAAAGGATCACAATAGACGATCCTGAATAGATAGTGAAAAAATGTGGAACAAAACTCAAAATTAAAAAAAAAACAACAACCAGGTTTACTATTCTGACAAAGATTGGTGGAACCCCCAAGACAATGGCTTTTGGTCACATTTCAGTACTGGGTCTGAACTTACAGACCAACAATAGAACAGTCCTATGAAACAAACAATAATACCCGGGAGGTACACACTCTTTAAAAAATAAAGAACACAGCAATTGTTCTTGGATAATCCTTATAAGGAAGGAATAGATAGAAAAGAAGGATGAATAGAAAGAGTAAATACAGAAAGGAAGTGGTAAGAATGCTATTACATTGTAGGGGCCTGAATAAATGTCATAGCAACAAGCCTATGTTTGTTGTATGAATTGTTGTATGAACTAAACTGTATGAATTGTTGAATGAAAATCCAATTTGCTTTACAACCTTTTCCAAATCACAATAAAAAGTCAAAATAGACAAAAAAGAAAAAAAAAGAAAAGAAAAAAGATCACCTTTCTTAACTACTAATGGTAAATATGTAGTGGTCATTGTATGCCAATGAGTCAGTTCCAACAGCAGTACTGTATAGGGTTTCTGAGGCTGTAAATCTTTACCGAAGCAGAAGGCCTCCTCTTTCTCCTACAGAGCATCCCAAAGCCTAATCCACTACAACACCAGGGCTCTTAAATATGCATATATAGAATAAAATAAAACAAAATTCTACCCAACTTATATTTAAAAAAACAGTGTTAGAAAGAGCAAATTTGAGAATCACGTGGAATAAATATTCCTTTTTTCCTTACTATATGTCATTTGACAACGTAATCTTTTATAGAAGCCAACATCAAAAAGTAAAATCTTCTCACCCTAAGACTTTAAAGACTAGGCAGCACATTATACATTTCCCCTCTTTCTCCTTCCTTTCTCTCAGGGTAAAAGGGGTGAACATTAGTAATTGCAGTAGACTTAAGATCTGGATCCTGATGCTGTTTGTATTAAATGGGAGAACCTTCTAATAATTTAATTTCCTTGAACTTCATTTTTGTTATCCGTTTGACCAATTTCACTATTAATCTTACAAAACAAAAATTGTATGTAGTAGTTGTATGCTTACAAGTCCTAGAAAGCTCTGATGCTTTTGTTTAAGATAGAAAAGGAAAAGTCAAAATGGATGTTAGAAGAGATTCTGAAAATTGCTCTTGTATGTAAAGTAGATAAAGTGAATGGAAGAAATAATGAAGTTAAAGCTCAACAGAAGATTTCAAAAGGCAGCTTGAGAAGACAAAGTAAAGTATAATAATCAAATGTTCAAAGACCTGGAGTTAGAAAACAAAACGGGAAGAATACACTTCACATTTCTTAAGCTGAAAAATAAGAAGAAAACATTCAAGTCGAGTTGAAATAGTGAAGACATCTATGGGCAAAACACTGAACAACATAGGAAGCATCAAAAGAAGATGGAAGGAATACACAATCATTGTACCACGAAGAATTGGTTGACATTCACCATTTCAGGAAGTACCATATGAAGAACCAATGTTACTAAAGGAAGAAGACCAAAAAAAAAAAAAAGGAAGATGTCCAAGAAGGCATTAGTGAAAAACAAGGATCCAGGAACTGACGGAATATAGACTGAAATATTTCAATGAACTGATTCAGCAGTTCATGCCAAGAAATTTGGAAGACAGTTACCTGACCAACCAATTGAAAGAGATCCATATTTGTGTGGAATGTAATACAAAAATGATTGTAGCAGTACACCAACAGGGAAATGCTAGAAATTCAATCCAGATTCAGATTAGGAAGTGAGAGAAAGACTATCACTGTTGATGTTATTTATATGGATCCTAACTGGAAGCAGAACATATAAGAAAGATTTTACCTGTGTTTCATTGGCTATGTGAAATCACACAATGGTGTAGTCCATAGCAAATTATGAATAAAATTGTGAAGAATGGGAATTCCAGGACACTTAACTGTGCTTATTTGTAACCTGTACATGGGTCAATAGGCAGTGGTTTGAAAAGAACAGGGGGATAATGTGTGTTTTAAAATAAGAAAATTTGTGCATCAGAGTCGCATCATTTCACCATATTTACTCAATCTGTATGCTGAGCAAATAATCTGAGAAACTGGACTATATGAAGAACATGGCATCAAGAACGGAGGAGGATTCATTAACAACCTGAGATATGCAGATGGTACAACCTTGCTTGTTGAAAGTGAAGAAGACTTGAAGTACTTACTGATGGATATCAAAGGCTACAGACTTGAGTATGGATTACACTTCAACATAAAAATCCTCACAAAAAGACCAATACCCAATATCATGATAAAACAAAAAAATGAAGTTGTAAAGGATTTTTATTTCACCTTACTTGATTCTACAATCAACATCCATGGAAGCAGCAGTCAAGAAATTAAATTTTACCTTGAACAAATCATTAAAATGTTAATGTCTTTAAAAGTGTGAAAAAGCAAATATGTCACTTTCAAGATTAAAGTGCAGCTGACCCAAGCCATGGTATTTTCAATCTCATATGCATAGGAAAGCAGGACAATGAATAAGGAAGACTGGATAAGAACTGATGCAAGTGAATTACTGTGCTGGTGAAGAATATTGAATGTACCATGGACTGCCAGAAGAACAAACTGATCTGTGTTGGAAGCAGTACAGCTAGAATGTTCCATAGAAGAGAGGATGGTAAACCTATGTCTCGCATACTTTGGACTTATAAACCGGAGGGACCTGGAGAAGAACATCATGCTTGGTAAAGTAAAGAGTCAGTGAAAAAGCTGAAGACCCTCAATGAAATGGATTGGCACAGTGGCTGTAACAATTGTGAAGGTGGTATGGGACCAGGCAGTGTTTGTTGTACACAGTGTCACTATGAGTTAGACTTGATCCGATGGCACCTAAGAAGAAGAAGATATCTGACGAATGAGCCAATGTGTTTTTGTTTGTTCCTCCTCAACCCCATGCATTTGCTGAATTGGTCAATTATATATATTATTGACCCAAAGTAGTTCTGATAGAGCAAAATTGCAGAGAGAAAGAAAAGAACCAGTTTGTGGCCTATAAGTTTCAAAATAGGCTTTTTGAAACTCATGACAAAGATAATAAGTTGAAAGAAGAAATTTTGAGTTTCTAGAACCTGATTACAACAGAACTCCAGAACCTGGGACTCTAGGCACAAACATTTGATTTAGAAGAATACCTGGAAAGTCAGAGCCAGTTTTTCCTGCTGCTTTATCACCCAGCCTCTAATACTGAGAATGGGAAGGGAAAGAAGGAAAGAGGGGACCAGCAACAAAAATAGAAACTGATGGAATGTTGACATTATGCCTGATGACTATCCCTGACACTATTTTCTGAGTGGTGGAACATGCTGGAAATCTAACTTTTTTTTTTTTTTTTTTTTTTTTTGAGGACTCCTTTTGTCTTGCTTTTAAGACAGAGTGCAGCAAATATTATGGGTTTCCTGATACCCAGCATGGGAAGGAACAATAGAGCAAAGATGACTTTGCTTCATCTCTGTGCCAAATATGGCTTGGAGAACTGCTAAGAGGTTGAGAGGTACCAAGAGGTTGAGAGGTATCAGCTCTTGTGAATAGAGTGACGCAAACCCTGTAGCAAGTAGAAGATAGCCAAGATCCAGTGGGAATACAGAAGTCCCAGCATGGACATTAGATGATGATGTCCTCTGATGACCATAGAAGGACCCCACTCACAGTTTTAGATGTCCTAGATATTCTCACATTCTCCATAACTGAGCTAGTACTGTGAAGAAATGGAGAATAAATGGTACATTGACCAAAGAACCATGAAATGACTGAGGATTGCCCAAAATTAAAGTGGTCAGGTTAGCACCCACCATGTCCCCCACTTCCAGGCACACACAAAAAGTTGTATGCAGGTTAGAAAAATAGACACATTTTGTCCCCACCTGCATTTTAGGCCTGATCATTTGTGCCCACTTTTATTTTGTACCAAACATCAAGAGCTATTTGGAACATTCAGAGGCTGGTGCTGCTGCTCTAAGTGTGTGTTTTTTCTTCATAGTTACTATACTCACCTACTCCCATTGAGTCAACTCCAACCACAATGACCCTGTATAGGGTGCCAAGGCTAAATCTTTATGGGAGTAGACAGCCTCATCCTTCTCCCAAGGATCCCCCAGTGGGTTTGAACGGCCAACCTTGTGGTTAGCAGTCCAGTACTTATCCTACAGCGCCATGAGGACTCCTGCCGTAGTTACTAAAGAGATGGACCAATTCCCCTACTAGGTTACTTCCCCCAGGCCCTCACCCTCAGGCCTCCTCCTGAACACAAGTGTGAGTTTGTCAGGGTACTCACCTGTTTCTGTGGACAACCTTGTTCGAGTACTTCTTTTTTCAAAAATCATGCCTAAAGACTTTCCTTGCAATAAAGGCAAATACTGAAAAGCAAAGACAAGAATTTTTAAAAAAAGTAAGAACCGCAATATATTTTAGCAATAGAATATGTTTCAGACATAAAAATGAATGAAGCTTTGATACAATGTGGATGGACCTGAAAAATGTCTTGTTGAGTTAGGCAAGTCAGTTATAACAGGACAAATATTGGATGATCCCACTTATATGAACTATATGAATAGGCAACTTTAGAGAGCTAGAAAGTACATCAGAGATTACGAGCGCCTGAGGGAGTTATTGTTTAATGGGTATCGGATTTCTGTTTGGGGTGACTAAAAAGATTTGGAACCAGATAATGGTGAAGGTTGCACACCATTGTGCATGTAATTAATGTCACTGAATTGTACACGTAAAAATGGTTAAAATGGGAAATTTTATGTTATATATTAATACTTTACCACCAAAAACATGTAAATGCATATGGAGTCTTGGTGTAGAACTGTAGGATAATCACTAGACTGCTAACTGCAAGATCAGCAGTTCAAACCTACCAGTCACTCCTCAGAAACCCTGTACAGGGTCGCTATGAGTCAGAGCCAGCTCAACAGTGCTTAACAACAATAGCATATGCATGCACCTATATGAGAAGGTTTCAAAAAATGAATGAAAAAAATGGAATTCAAAGATCATGGAATTTTTCTAAAACTTTTTTTTTTTCGAAGCCCCCTTGTATATTATACCCAATAGAAGGAGCTCTGGTAGCGTAGTGGTTACGAATCGAGCTGGGAACCGCAAGGTCAGCAGTTCGAAACTACCAGCTGTTCTGCGGGAGAAAGATGAGGCGTTCTGTTCCCGTAAAGATTTACAGCCTCGGAAACCCTGTACAGGGTCGCTATGAGTCGGAACCGACTCCACGGCAC